CAGACTTTGTCCATTGACTGGCCKTTATTTATATCATCAGGACATGTAGACGAGGAGCAGTGGGTTGATAGGATCAAGACCATACTGTCAGATGAAGAGATTAGTCACCTGACCAGTGTTTATATTTTACYACCTTCATCTGCTCAACCAATACCCCACACTCAAAGGTAATACAAAACCTTAATATGATTTACAACAGACTTCTTTACCTTGGACATTTCAGACCTTTTGTCATTCTGTTTGARAATAGGATTTTTTGTTTCATTTGCATCCTACAAAGAAATGATACTYATGGAAAAGATATGTGGTCTGAATTGGGTAAAACATTATTTGCATTACGATCCAAGGCTGCCAGGAAGGGTATTGGGTGTGTTCTTATCTCTCAGATGATTTTATTTTTGTCTTTGTGTGTACTGTAGATAAATGCCATGGTTGAAAGATTATGACAACATTTTGGTTATAATATTTTACAACTATCACTCCTTGTTAGTGGATTTTCCATGAAGGTCCTTTCCTTAACAGTCATTCATGGGATGAAATTACACGTAACTTTTAAACCCACCAGCAAAACCTTGCTAGTAAGTTTTGTTCTCACTARCAATGGTTTCAAAGTCACTAGCTATCAATCGCAGGGAATAACAAATGTTACTTGATGCAGGTTTTAAACTTCAGTCCTTCAGTCCTTTAATTTCTGAACTGTGGTCATACTTGCAAAACTTAGCTAGTTAAATTTTTCTTACTYGCTAAAGACAAAATTTCACTCACATTTTGCACATTTTCGAGTGTTAATTGGTGCCCTGTCATTACCACTRCATTTAAACCTACAACTTAACACTTGGCTCACTGAAACCAGCTTACTCACCCTCTGTGCTCATAAAACTCACTTTACTGGATCTACTAATGTTTCACATTCGATATTTTGGGTCAAACAGTCATAGCTCACCGATTCCTGAGGAAATAATTATRAGGATCTCCAGCAAGATTGTTGAACATAACTGGAATCAATTGGCACAGGAGCTTGGGTTTACTGACCAAGACATGAAGGTTTTAGAGAAGCACTTTCCTAACAGATCTCGTGAACAAGTTTATCAGATGCTTAAACACTGGAGAGAAAAGGAAGGTTCTACAAAACAGGCTTTGGAATCTGCACTGAAAAGGTGTGGAATGGATGATGCCTTGTCTGTTCTTCAAAATGAAGCAGTGGGACAATTATCAAGTGCTGACCAAGTGACGTGAAGATCAAAGGGAAGTGGATGGCTGGAATGGRCTCTTGCTTGATGTTATGTGAACCTCATGAAATAGAGGTGTGTCTGCAGAACCTACATACCATATAGACTTACATGGTGCCGTGTGGTCAAGGACCATTGTATCTGATAACACCATACTGTAGCTAGTTTATGTAGGCCAGTGCTTTAACCCTCTACTAAGCTTTGGAGGTCATTTTATTTTCACAAGTTTGATTGGACAAAGAGTCACCATGTGTAATTCCATAATTAAGGTGCACAAGAATAGAAAATCAATTGAATGTCATATTATTTCTGTTTCTTATCAGCTGGTTTGACTCTTACATATGCTTGATAATAGAAGTTACTAAACAAAACCACCATACTAATCCCATAAAAAATACCATACACACAAAACCTATAGTACAAATAACCATATGTACACTGCACTAAACCTATGAAAAACTGGAGAATCTGTAGCTGAGTCATCAGTTTTTTCCATGTTGGTCGCTGTGCTTGATAGAGAGCACTCTGACCATAGTAGAAGTACAAAAACACATGGACAAATGAGTTCAGCGCTAACATGAATCCAATTGCTGGCCAGGGATAGAAGTGGTATGCATAGTCACTTAGAAGAAGGATGGTTGAGTGGTGATAGACCTGGAAGAAATAAGATAAAATAAAAGGAAATGAAATAAAATCAATAAGATAAAAATATAAAAAGAGATAACTAGCTAAAAACTAGCATGAGCTGCATCGGTGTTTCTAATGAAACAATAATGATAAGAAGGTAAATTATACACCATGAAAAGATGAAAAAACTTACTTAACAAAAATAAAATGAAATAACATGAAATGAAATGAAATAAAATAAAATAAATAGGATTTAACAGAGGCATTTCCACAGGGTGGCTCTTCATCCACCAAAATTACGTTTCCAGTAACGCAGGTTCTTTTTAACAAAATGCATTCATATATTGGAGGCTTACTAATATTGATATGCTTTATCAGATGTCAAAACTCTTGCTAATTCRATTAAAATTCAAAACTTGCCCCAGTCTCTTGCTTGTTTTAAAGTGGTCAATTAGAATTTAGAAGTTGTTTTTAGAAGTTGAGGGAAAAAAACTGAAAAACCGAAGACTGCTCTTTCTCTAAATAACAAATGATTCTGCACTAATAACATTAAGACATATTAATAACATACTTACATGCAGGAAAGATATCTGTCTTTGTTTGTGCCTTAACATCATGAATATAGTATCTAATAGCTCTACATTCTTGGTGATCCAGTAGACAAAGAAGGCATGGCTTATCATGGAGTTGTGTTCCATCTTAAAGATTGACTCCATCCCATCAGCAGCAAGAGCCATTATAATGTAGGCAAGGGAGTACAAACTCAATCCACTGCATATAAAGTTGTAGACTACCATAATCTGAAAAGTAAAATTAAAGAGTCATTTTTGAATGACTGAAAAACAAAGTGATCAGTGTGCTGGATCATTTAAAAAACATTTTCTCATCAGGAAGACCCTGAGTGTTTTTCCAGTCAAGGATGGAAACTGCAACCTTGCGCACAACAGTGTGATTCTCCACCAGCTTAGCAAGCACAAAACCAGAATCCCTTGCAAACTATTTTTGTTTGTTAATCAGAATTAATTGTATTCATATTCTTTATTATTGCTTTCGTCATGAGAAGATACACACATTATGTCAATCAACCCAGCACAAAAAAGGAAAGGGAATGAAATAATAATAATAATAATAATAATAATAATAATAATAATAATAATGGCTTTTATTCAAACACAATAATAAATTACAGCATTGCTGATGTGGTCGTGGTGGAAAGATGAGTATGTGACAGGAGGCAGTAACAGGACAGAGTCCCAATTGACTTAGTACTCTCATGACTTCTCAATAAGTATTATAYATATACATAATACATCAATATTTCTTGTATTTAAAGACAAACCTTTCTCAGATCCAGCGGTGGTACAATTTKTTTCCATAATAGTGATGTTGGTATGAGAATCAGGTATACAGCAACTACTGGGGCAGATTGTAAGCTTATGACTTCCTTAAAGAACTGCTGATAACGCTCTACAAATTTAGTTAAATTTTTCGTTCATTAAATTTTAAAGAAAATTGAAGGAATGTACCAAAATATTCCTGCCCCACCTAAATAAACCCTTGGAACCCATTTCCGTGGTATAATGATTGATTCCTGATAAAGTCGGACGGCGTGTGATGTMAATCTATCAAGGGGAGAGGGGTGGTAAATCATGTTTTAAACTCTCAGGACTATAAAACTCTATGTTTTGACTATGAGATAAGGAATTAGTTAAATTCTTTAAAATTCTCTCGTATTGTGGTACCAAATATGTCTAGTCTAGATTTGTTGTCGCTTAGTAAGGTCGTTTTAAACCTAGGCTCTGTTACATGTGAGACTAGCGCTGAACTAACGAATCGCTTTATGGCCAAGATCGTAAGATGCCGGCAGAAAAGTATGGCGCACAGCACGATATAAAACTTCAAATATACTGTGTATTTYTGAGAATGGGCGATCAGTGTTTTGGGTTAGTGTTTAGACGCTAAAAGGTTGATACAAGAAAATACCTACTGMGAAATCTATTCGGTCCAGTAGCTTGAATAAATAGATTAATATATGTTATATAATAACAACAGGTACTCGGATTGCGATYGAAATTTCTTTGCATACTAAAAGTGCGGATTACTTAATATAAATATATAAATATGTATTCGTTCGCAAAGAAAGTAATTGAATTTTTATCTAAAATAACAAGATAATCAGCTAATGAACTCGAGGCACCCGTTATAACAAAATTAACTTCAAGCCATCAAGGGCGCCTAACGTAAACACATTCAAACATTATATTTTATCATATTAATGTACCGGCAAAAGAGTTAATACGATTAGGATCTTATCCAAATTTCCCACTTACCTAGTCTAGACGTCATATTTATTCAATGGATTTGTATTTTGTAGATTTTTAGTATTTGCGAGGGGAGCGGTGCGTGAGGCTCACAAAAGCGTTTGAGAGATGAGGGGAACGACCAGGGACTGGGGAGCACGGGATGCAATAATTTGGCCCTGTGGGGAGGGGAGGGGGTTTAGTTTTATCCCGAAAAGCGGTACCRAGAACGTTGTCACTAAGATCTTTTTTTCACTATCCTTGTAATCAATTTCATTTAATTATCCCTTATTACAAAAATTTGTGCATGTTATCCTCAAAATCCACCTGCCTGGGTTTTTTAAATTAAATTAAAATACAGCTGCTAAAATTTTTTTCTTAATTTATCGGATGACACTATATGTTTTAGATTCAGTGTTCTTGGTAAGCTCAAGGGTCTGTTTTGTAATGCCTTTGATCTCAACTATGGGCCTTGTTTATCATTAGCAATCATACTTTTTTTCGTGACGTCAAAAAAATGGCATTGAAATGTTTTGTTCCGGCCAAAGAAAACACTTATGCCAATCCATTTATACCAATCCATCCGCCACTCAAATGGCTTCCGTCGATGAAGATCATGGCATCTGCCACTCAAATGGCTTCTTGATAAGATTATTCCATCTGCCACTCAAATGGCATCAAACACCGAAATGGTACCAAATATGGAATCCTTCTCGACACTGAAATGGTTTTAAGGCTAATACTGAAATGGATTCATTGAAAATAAGGCTAAATAGTGAATGTTGGAGGACAAATAGAATTTTAATCTCTAGAGAATTTTAATCTATTGGTTTGTCAAATCTGTAAGGCATGACGGGGAAGGAGAGGGGGAGGGGGGGTCTCGTTGARAATTCCTGTGATCAGTTTAATTTTAACGTCGGAAATGATTTTTACATTTAATATCAAGATTTCAAAAGGAATAACAGTAAATAAGTGTCAACCTGATTAGTTACAGTAACAATTGGAAAAACACATAAGATCCTTAAGAGCTTTCGGTGGGTGAGAGACATTCTTGATGGTACAAACAGGTCACCCGTGAAAATGTACTAATAARAACTAGATAGTATCAATTTTGCCAAATCCTTAGTTTTCAGTTGTTGAAATAGTTAGTACTATTTGGTATGTTTAGCTTAGTTAGTACTTTTTCATGGGTTTAGAATATTGTGTGCCTTCTCGAAAAAAATCAGTTTAAAAAAGGTTGAAATAGTTTTTTCACAAAAGACCAGAGAAATGTGTTGCGCACGTTCGGAAAATTACGAATGGAAAAAGAGCCAAAACTTGTCAATAGCAATACTAATGCCATCCCGAAGAAATATCGATTGACAGTCATTTGTATTCMATTCATAAAAACCCTTGCTAATCTTGGACACTATGTAACGGATAGTACAGCACAGTTATTCTTTTATTCTACTTTCTTGACTTTTTGTTGAGGAGACCTCTTTATATAAGCATTGAAATARAAATTCGAGAAAAGCACGATCATCGTCGTCTCGTATATTATACCATATAGACAGAAATTGTAATAGTAATATCCCACTATCTGATGAGCAACGCCGATGAAAAACTGGGTCAACTGGAGCTCTGTCAATGCCTTCTTCCACATAGGTCTTTGCATAGGGCGACGCGCGGTCTGTCCGTAGTAGTAGTAGAGGAACACGTGGACCAACGAGTTGAGAGCCAAGATGACGCCCATGGCGGGACGAGCACCCCTTATGTAGGCAAATTCTGCTATCAGCATTATAGTTGTGTGGTGATAGACCTACAAGAAAAGAAACGTCATGAAGAGAACATAGATGGTCATTGCGCCATGGGCCGAACGGGATCCGCATGGGCGCGCAACTAAATTTTCATATTTTCCTGATGCGCACTCAGCGGAATCAGAAAATCTATTGGTAATTAGACAACTGGGGTGGTATTTTCCTGCTATCCACCTGATTTTATTCTCTGGAGTGCGTACGTTTGTACTCCATTCGCCATAAATCTTGCCTCAAAATTCCTTATTACAGTAACATCGTTTTGTCCAAAACGCATTTGCCAATCCCTTTCCTCCTAAACTTACTCGTAAAAGTATGGTTCAACATCAAATACTTTTACCATCCAGTTATTATTGAACTGTTAGTTTCATACTTACATGAAGGAAAGAGACTTGTCTGGTTCGGTGTCGTAGGATCATGATGATTGTATCCAACAGCTCAAAGATCTTTGTCATCCAGTACACATACATGGCATGCTTGACGTACGGATTCTCGGCCGTGTCAAAAAGGGAGTGTGGCCAGTTGGGTATCAGCGGTATGATGAAGTACACTAAAGAGTACAGGCTGGTTAAGGCGCAGATGAAATTATAAACCACCATTGGCTGGAATGAAAATACAAATGGTTAACACACTTGGGCGTATTCAAAAACACGTTCGCGATGGTAGATGTGATTCGGAGTGTGTTATCAACTTCTTACTACACGTGCACCTGGAATCGCCTGATCGTGCAGGTGATTCCAAATCTAAGTGCGCAATGCTTGTTTGTCAAAATGAAAATTCCCCGTTCATTGTTAACGATCGATTATCGTTACTAAAGAAATATCTGATATTTGATTACTTAGTAAGTAATTTGACTTAGTTGATTGGGAGGTCGTGGGTTCAAGCCGCATTTGAACGAACACTCAGGGTCTTAAAATATCTGAATGAGTATATAAAATATCTTTCTCTTCAACCTGTGAGACTGTATCCAAATCGTGTGCGCGATAAACGTTGAATTTTGTACTTACTTTCCTAAGTTCCAAGGCTGGCACAAATCGTCTCCACACCGGTGATAATATCACACAAGACAGATAAGTGGCTGCAATAGGAGTTGACTGCAGGTTGAATACACCATCTTTCAGGCCAAGAATGAATTCTGAGCAATTGAAAGTTAAACCAGAAAGAGATTAGAATACAGGTGCTACTTAATGAATCAAATTGAAACAGAAAAAACACATGATTAATAAGGCCCTTGTACACAAATATCTGGCAAATGTACTAACACCACAAAGATTTTTTTTTCAAACAAAAAAACTGGCAAACTCATAGGGCATATAAATCAGAGAAGTCAGCACATATCTTCATCTTTTTCTCTGCTTTCCATTCCCCCCCCCCTCCCCCCGTCAAACAATCTTCTGAATCTCTCTTATCCCTCCCCAGCCTCACTGGAATCCCCACAGGAGCATAGTAGTAATTGCAAGGAACCAGGAATTGGGGAGGGAGAGGGGTGGGGCACCCAGAATAAAAAAGTAGTAAGTAGGCGAGCCAGCCCGTACCGCTCGGAACGAGTTACATGATTGGATAAAAAAACGATAGATTGGTCATCCAAACGATAGCACTAAACCTAACCTTACAAAAGCAGTACTGTGCTTAGGGAGCAATGAAAATCCAGCTTTCGAGCGGTACTGGATTACTCAAATAGGCAAGTATTTTTTTATTTAGCATCTCATATACAAAATGGTACATCGATACATCGATGGCTATATAAATAAATAAAGTTATTATTGTTATTATTATCGATTTAACTCCAAATGAAGTTTAACTAAGACAAAATATAAATATCATAAATAATTCTAGTAATTCTAGTTTATGCCTGATACATCTTATTTTTGTATTCTTTCTTTTCTAAGGACTGTTATAGACCTGGTTATAGTGAACCCTTGCTCTCTGTTGCAGAAAGGACACTTAACATTGAAAATACAATTTCAATTAAGTTATAAATTAAAAAAAAAATAAAGATGCTAAATACATAAATTGATAACTTCTTCTCCTTCTTTTCTCTCATAAAATTAAATAAGCGGATGCAAAACATGTACACTGTAAAAACAATCAAACGAAGCTGAACAACGCCAGACAATGCCATATCATGCTCCCTGTGGCGCATAGCAACGGTAACTAAGCGCTCAAGTGGGAAACAAAAGAATACTAAAGATGGTCTACTGCAGTCGTATGGCTCACGTAACGTACGTATAAATTATCCTGAATATTCTTGTCTTAAACAGAGCAGAAAATATATTCTTTATGTACATTTACTTCGAAAGGGTTTCAGTAATGATGCATCCAATTATACCTTGACCATGCAACCCAGGCTAAAAATATGAGTACTTTCAGTGCTTTACTATAAGACAATATCCAAATGTTTCAGCATCGAAATCGAAAAACGAAAATTAAAAAGTTATAGCACATGATACTTCTGGAAATATATTTTAAGGCATTTTGAAGGTTATAGCTGTCAGTCTTGAATACAGAATTTTGCCGGTTTAACGTAATTCATTCACTCGATAATCCGTGTCACTTTACCTGAAACTGAACTAAAATTTATAGTCCTTTACTATGCGAAAATCCACATCTATTTTTTAGTGTTTGCGTGGAAATTGCTTTGAATGTCAGACAAGAATAAGACATTAAAATACTATTTACATTTGATTGTAAAAACAGAAAGAAGGCGAGAGAGAAAAAAACGATCAATACTGATATGAGTTTTCGTATTGTCCTTTACTATAGACAACCCCACATCTGCTTCCGTGGACCTTGCTTTTGGGTGCCAGAAAAGAAAACGACCATTAGAGTACTATTTACGTTTGATCGTAAAAACAGAAAGAAAGCGAGACAGAAAAAACAGACTTCTCTTACCTGAGACGCTAGTCATAACGGCTTGCACCAATCAGTCAGTAGTGAGCTGGTATTCTTTTCTTAAGCTTTGTAAAAAAAAAGAAACAGTCGAATCTATAGTCAATACCAAATAACAACCGATAATTCAATGTTAGCTTGAATTTATAATTCAACTTGGCTGGTCTCAACTGACCTACTCTACCTACCTGAAATTTCGCAAGCACTGAGTGTTGGACTTTGAACGGCTTTAGCATCGGCTGATCTTTTCGCACGGTATTTTTCACCTGGGATGGTCGAATGGTCGCTTTTGTCTGTCCTGAAGCTTCTATGCAAATACGGCTCGCTTGTAAATTTATTCAAAACGATCTCAAATAACCAATCACAATGCAGAAAGATAAGATTATATATCGAGAAAATTACGAATGGAAAACAAATATAGAATAGTGTTTTATTCATTGACAATTTAGGATTGTAGGCTTTCGTTAATAATGTATATGTTTGACCGTTTTAAATGTTCAGTGTTTTTAATCGGTGACTATCGTCGAAGGCTCTTTGTCGTTATATTGTGAAACATCAGACCATCTGCTCTTTGAACTACCATTAAAACAAAGGTCGTTGAAAGTCAGCCCAGAGAACAAGACAGCCAGACTGATGAATTACTGACATGTACAAATGTGTACACGTTTGTCACGCAACTGCGGAAGAGCCACTAAGTGCCTTTCAAGATTTGAGGACAAGTTCGCGTTTAATGGGGAGGTGGTTGGGGGTAATGGGTGAGAAAATACATAAAATATATTTGATAAATACGATTAGAAATTACGAAAAAATTCAATTAGTACTATTGTGAGGACCCCAATTTATTTCCAACATTTCGAAGGAACATATTGCAAGACCCTGCTTTGCAGTATCACTACTGATTTCGAGGCCCCATTTTTTCACCCATACCCTCCCCTTTGAATAAAAAGTGAACGGCCCTTTAGCGTCCTGGACAAATTCAAATTATCTGCAKATTTTAGGCTTCCGTCATTCAAAAAATTACCAACTCGGACATTTTGTTAGTTTTCTAGACAGAAAATTTGTCTGGAAATTTCTCGGCCGTAGTGGAAACATGGAAAGCGCTCTTTTAAAGGTGCCGTTAAAAGGTCAAACCTCCTCATGAAATTTCTTTGTCAAGGCTTGGAATGAAGGAATTTTGCAAGATAATTCATTCAATTATTCTGCGGCAACAGATAGTTTTAAAATCTTAGTTTTCGAGAATGTTTAGCAGTTTTGAAATTTGATACATGCAGGGTTTCAAGAAAGGCAATATGCGTTGCACAATACGCGGTACGTGACTACAGTACACAGACCGCGGAGGCTTTCTTAGCCCCAGTTTCATAGCCTGCGTAGCCAGGCGTTCTTCGTGGGGGATTGGGGTGKAGAGAGGAAGAGAGAGGGAACCCAATCCCCCAAGAAGAACGTATGGCTACGCAGGCTAACGAAGGGGTGGAGCTTTCCTTCGTAACCCCATCTAAAACTACCCCGCAGACCCTACAGTTCTCGCCCAGTATTTGGATTATAAAGCGAGGGAGCTTACTCCCAGGGCGCTAATTAGTGTCCTGCTTACTCCGTTTTCAGAAAATCTACTCGATTAACCAAGACCAGCTTTCCGATAGGGCATAGTTCGTCTTCCGACACTCTACTGATGATGGATAAGGTCAAAAATGTCCACAACTTAAGTTGAACCCATGGTGGATCCGGGGAGTTGTTTTCATGACCGGAACCCCCTTTCTGAAGCATGTTATTTACGCTGACTAGAGCTTTGTTGCGCGGCGGCCATTTTGAAACCCCTTTTAGAGACCAAGGTCCGCCATTGAGAATACCATTTAAGTTATGACGTATTTCCGGGTCCAATCTCACAAAAGTTCGCTAAAATCTTGCCACACCTTATTCCCAGGATTTATTCTCTACCTTCAACGATTAGATACATGAACAGAAAATCCTGCTATGAAGAAAAACACAGAAAAATGTCTGTTGAATATATGAATAATTTTTAATTTGGACCCGGAAGTCGTTTTTCGTTCGAATTGCGTCACACTTAACAGCCTTATAGGAAAATGACCACCGAGTGCCATGAACGAAATTGAAAACATAGCAACCCAAACATGATACTAACAACAAAAGTAAAAGTTTCTATCATAGTTTTACTAGTCTAAGGCCGTATTTGCAACAGCTAGTACATGGTAGCATATAAGGAAAAATATAATATTGTTTAAATCGCAATCTATCTTATCAGTAAGCAAGATCGGGCCTACTCGATCTCGTGTCGTATTTCTTAAGTCCAGGCAGTCACGTGACTATAATCACACGTGAGTGGATAGACTTTTGTAATGTTATCGCCACTGGCCTCCAACTTCTCGGGCTGTGGAGCCAAGGTACTCTGGTACCGAGGGTAGCAGTCACGTGAAAGTACTCCTATTTGCTATCCAATCAAATCACTTCAATATCCCGATCTGCTTCTTGGTTGATTGGTATATATATATATAAAGCCTAAAGCCGCTTTTTCTTTCTCTTTCTTTTTGATTTAGGATTTCGACGTTATGATCGCATTAACTAGTTCGTGAGACAGCCATTGCGTTTATAGAGGGCTAAAAAAAACCTAAATTTGCTAGCTCCCTAGTCTAGGCTATATACTGATGATCATCTGCATATATTGGTCTAATCATCATCCCGCTGGATTCTTCGTCTACTTAATCTCATTCTGATGCACTGTTTCTCGTCTTGCGATCCCTCGCCAATAGTCGTGTATCCATCGCGACATTTCTTACACTCAGTACTCCCTTCGGTATCTTGGTAGGACCCGATGGCACAGGGGATGCATTCCTTGGAGTAACGGTAGAAGTGTGTTCCTAGTGGACAGGCGACTGTTTGGGAGGAACAAAATAGATTTCTTACTTTAAAATCAAAGAACATAATGAAAGTGTACGGTAAAGCTATTTTTAGAAAGCCGCGCGTGTGGTAAAGGGTGGTCACGTGATGAGTGTTGACGTTCTGTGCCGTGATGGTACCTTGTTTGATTCTGATGACCATCTACATCACGTGATGTTATAACATAGTGTAAACAGTATCACCGTTACCGTGCCGCGCCCGTGATTTTTTTAACGCTATCGCCAATTTGTGGTTAACTGTTGATTGCGCAGCGCAATGTCGCTTCCTATCATTGTTGGCTTTTGCCGATAGTGAGCAATAACGCAGATCAAAGATCAGAACTATCTTCAATCCACGAAGGCCTATCAACTATATTTATTTTATAATGATACCAACTTTTATAAATTAAGGTAAAAACACGTAACATTTACATAATGATAAACTTGTCAAATAATAATAATAATAATAATAATGATAATAATAATAATATTAATAATAATTACAATCTTTAAACAGATGGCCTACATCATTTAAAAATGCTTTTCAGTAGGGCTCTGTATAAAATTACACTAAAATCAATAAATAATGAAATAACTAAATAAATAAAAGCGAAAATAGGCAAACTAGAAACTATAAAGGTAAAATATAAAACTGTCAATAACTGTCCAATATAACTTTCTACTTACCGCATAGTTTCTTCTCATAATTTGTGATGTAGCCATCCTTACATTCAACCTGGATTTCCGTCACTTTAAACGAGGCTTCGCGCGCTTTGACCTTTTTGCCATGAACTAACATCACGAGTTTTCCCATAGAAACGGCATAACTGATTTGATACGCCACTGTACCTGCGTTCTCCTCGAACGTGTTGCCTCCCCATTCGCTGTACAGCAAGACAAACGATACTGTCATCTCAGTATTTACTGTGGTCCACTGTCGAGGTTCGCAGTTTGGCATGTTGATTTTCTCGATCTTACAAACCCCTTCTTCAAAGCATTTGTATTGCTGGACGCCTTTGATGGTATCTAACAAGGCTTGCTCGAAACTTGACTTCAAACTCGTGTACTCTTGTCTTGACCTGCAAGTTGAAGGATCTAGAGGAACTACGACTCTGTAAACATGACGGACTTTTGTGGGCTCCGTGATACCTAGAATAAAGAATTAAGGATAATAGAAACATGCGCACAATCCAATGAAAGGTAATTTGAAATTTGTTAGTGTCCGTCTGTATTTCTTAAAACTACAAATTGTCCCTCTTATTGGGTAAATACCACGGTGATCCTAGATTACGTACTAACTTATTTAACAGCAATGATGTTTTTGAATCCAAAAATTTTTTTATTACGGTATCTATGAAAAGCTCGCTTGCAAACAAGGCTAATTAACCTGTATCAATGAGTGCGTGCTCGTCAAACATTATAGATTACATGGACGTATATGTGAATAAAGAACTTTGAAGTAAAGAAACCCTGGCAGTGACTACCCTCATTGTTTGGCCTTTACTAATGATTCCTCAATGGGTAACGTTGATTCAGTATTAGTATGGGGATTTTACGGGGTTGGAAATTGGTGCAATGTACCTCGAACGGGACCCTGAGTCTTATTGTGCAACACCAGCCTGCGAGCAAAATCTCTAATAAATAAATAAATAAAAATAATGAATAAATAAAATGAATAAACTAGACTTACTGAGACAGCGCGGAAGCTTGATGTTATCAAACCCATTCCACTTCCAGCCAGTCTCGGGCCCACATTCATATCTCGCCACATCTTTTGCTCTTAAGGTGAATCTTTCGTTGCATTGTAAGAAGGCCAGTTTCTTTCCAGAGTAGGATACTTCATAGACCTCACCGTTAGTCAGGTTGCCAAAAGCCGGGCATTCTGCAAGTCAAATTTCAAACAAATGAAGTATTTAATTGAGATTTTTCATATCTAATCCGGATTCATTTGTGTCATATTCAACATTATGGGCTGAAACTTCGCCTCCTGGTAATTTATGTCAAGATGTATTTTTCCAAAGTGCACTTTGACACAACTGCTTGGTTTGAAGAAAGTGGGGTATCGTGACCTCCAATTGCAAGGTCTCATTTGATAGCTTGTCCTTCATTGTTAGTTAAAGTCAAGGGATCATATGGTCTCTTGGAAAGGTGGGCGTAATATGGTTGCCTTTCTAATTACTGCAACCATTTAGAGTGCATACCATATATCTTTGAAAGTGTTAATCAACAAAATTGTACAAATTAGTACAAAGTTTTGTAGATAGCGGTCTACTGAGGTCTACTGAACTTACAAATCTGTGGAATTTCTTACAACGTTTTCCACACAGATATATGGTATGCAATCTACTTTTACATTCTAATGAGTGCAAACCATTTACTTACTTTTAATATTGACTTTTATAGCATTCTGGCATCGATCACCATAGTAACCAGTTTGGCACTCGCACCGATAGGTCGCTACGTCATCAACACATCTACCATGCACACAGGGATTGGACACGCAGTCATCGATGTTGATGTCACAGATTTTTCCAGTGTAACCTTTGTCGCATGCGCAAACCATCTCATCTTTTGCTTTGTAGCAATACTGGTAATGCGTACAATTGGTTGTGCATTCTTCAGTAACTGTCAGTAAGGAAAACAATAGACCTCTTTAGCTTGGGCGAAATGTTTTCCCATTCTAGACCACGTGTCATTCCCTAGAGTAACATTTCTTTGTTTAACGGTTGTGCACGAGAAGACCCATGAATTTGTTTACATCTCAAACAAAGCACCTGATTCTCAAGAGAATGACAAGTGGTCTGAAATAATACAACATTTTCAAACGTATGTCAAACGTATTTCAAATTCTTTGATCGTGGAACAAGGGTCAATGTTTGTTATTCATTCATTCGACTCACACAATAGCGAACCAATCACTGTTGCAGCAGTTTTTCCAGTGGAATTAAAATCTTAGTCTAGGAAAAACTTGACGGTTCTTGTACACTACAACAAATAATTTTTTCTCTTAATTTCAAATTTTTACCCTCAGAGTTTTTTGAGATATTTCAGCCTAACATTTGATCTTGTGTGACATAGTAACGGTAACTAAAGGGAGTCGGAACAAAAACTGATTAATAGGTGTTCCCCCTTCTAAAGGCCGGTTTAGACGGTACGATTTTCGCCTACAACTATCGTACACAACGTGCTCGCGTCTGTCGTAGGCGAGTTGTAGGCTTGATTTACACGCTACGACTCGAGTTGTAGGATGGCGCGAGCGTGTTGTATACGATAGTTGTAGGCGAAAATCGTACCGTCTAAACCGGCCTTAATATATTTTCTACGTTTTGTGTACCTTTACACGAGGTCGGGAACCTCTTCTTCGTATTTCCTCTAACACCAGGCAAGAATCCAACCCACGAATTAACGTTTCCTCCCACAGGCCAGTGGCATTTGTGAGCAGCATTCCACATATACTCTGCATCAGCTGGCTCTTTCCACACGTTCACTTGATGTAAAGCACCAACAAACGAGTCAGGCTTAACAAAACTATTCCTCTCCCAGGAAAACTTTTGACCAAGTATGAACCTTCCACTGCCATTTAGTGGTCGACCTGTTGTTGAATCATGTATGTATACAGGTTATCTATAGATATCGTTGCTAGTTTGTCAAATTATATCTTGCACCACCGAAGGCAAGATTATACTGTATTTCTCAATAGTGCGCGCGGAATCGCCGTCGCAACGAAAGAGGTTTTGATGGACGTCAATCAAGGCGTTTGTATGACATTCCTTAGGCACGTGAAGCGAGATTTCACTAAAACTCCTGCGGGCGTACAACATAAAATCATACTGACATTTACCATTAATTACATTTAAATAGAAAATATATTGATAGAAAATATCTTCCTTACCAGGAGTAGTTCGTTGAAGCAAAGACACAGGCATCCCATCAACATACATCTTAAGTAATCCTTGTTGATTACTCCAAGTAATACCAATGAAATGCCACTTCCCATCAATAATATTGGCTGATCCTTCGATGACGTCACCGCGCACTACAGCACGGATCAGAGTCGCAGCAAAAGATACCTCGATGTTTTCAGTGATGTTATTTGGCACCAGGTATGTCATGATGGTGCCTGTCTGAAAGCRGTAGTTTGGTTTGGCCCAGAGGGCTATGGTCAGGCCCTCAAGTGTTGGAGCACCCTTGAATTGGTTTTCTCTAAATTCAACAAAGTCTGACTGGGATTTTTCTTTGAATTCGACGTCAAAGTCGTCGCTAATTTCTGTTGGGGATTGAGACATTGTTAGCATTAAATCATGACTACAAAGTATTTATTATTTTGTAGGAATTTCTGTTTGAAATTTGAAATATGTTTTCCATCTGTCAGTTATTTTGGTTTAATATACAACAGGGCCCGGTTGTACAATTGGTGGATAGCGCTATGCGAGGGGAAAATCTTATCCAGTGGATAAATTTATTGGATAACAACATCGACCTTCCCACTGAAGAAGGATTTATCCGTTGGATAGCGCTATCCACCCTACAATCGGGCCCAGATGTACTACTACACCCGTTACAAAGAAAACTGGCAATGGGGATCACAGGCACCTGAAGGTCGATCCAATGGACATGCCCCTTATAGTTKATGTCACTGAGGATTCCATTCAAGCCTCAGTCAATTTACCTATTTCGCAGTTTTTCCCCGTGTGGGACTTGTGGCAAATACAACTGTAATTATTCACTTTGTTTACACAGTTGGAGTGTAATGGACAGGGGGCTGAAGCACACTCATCGATGTCAACGTCACACAAGGGACCCTTGTAGCCACCACTGCAGGAACAGTTAAATGATGTGATGTTAAGTTCGATGCACTTTCCTCCATTCCGGCATGGCTTTATTTTACAAGGGCTTTTGTCATTCTGGCAGCGTTGGCCATCGAACCTGCGTGAAGAGAGTCAAGCAGGGTTTAATGTAGTGGTAAGTAAGATAGTGTAAGGGTTTTAGAGACAGATACGCACGAAGAAGGAGGGGACAACTAATAAAGGAGAGAAAAAAGATAGAATAAATCAAACAAACACGCAATCCAAGAAGAAAAAAATGGGGGACGAAAAAGAAAGAAAGAAGGAAGAGAGAAAAAAAGAAGTAAGGAAGTAATGAAGAAAAGGAGAAAAGAAAGAAAGAAACAGATAAAAGATATAATTATTGTACCTTTCACTACAGTTACATTTATATCCACCAAAAACATCTGTACAAGTGCCATTGTTCAAACATGGTTCATCAGCACATGAATACAGCTTGTGTTCGCAGTTTGTCCCATTATAACCATCCCAACAAACACAGTAATAACCATTAACCTGATCAACACACGTGCCCTTGTTCAAGCACTTGTTTTCCTTACACTCGTCAATGTCAATCTTGCAGGTTTTCCCCGTAAAACCTGCTTTACAGGTACAGTGGAATTCGACCTCGATGTCTGTACATTTTCCACCATTCTGACAAGGATTTGACTCACAAGGTTTGATCTTATATTCACAGTATTCTCCATAGTACCCTTTACTGCACTTGCACTTGAATCCAAGAGGCGAATTGACGCACTTTCCATGACTTGTACAATTTGAGTCCAAACAATGATCAATGAGATTTTCACAGTGGCGTCCATAGAAGCCTTCGGGACAGCTGCAGGTGTAATTTGAAACAAGATCTGTGCAGGTACCATTGTTCTTACACGGGTTGACGGGCTTACAGTCATCAATGTTAGTTTCACAGTAACGACCAGTGAACCCAGCAGAACAGCTGCAGTTGTAATCCTCATTCTAAACATAACACAAAGACGTTATTTGAACACCCATATATGTTGTTGGATTCACTAGAGTCATTGTCAAATTGAGTCGTCGTCAGATTCACTAGATTCGTTGTTATTTCTTCACTCAAATGCAATATCATGCAAAGTTAGGCTAGAACTAGTTTCCTGCCATGATAAATCTTTACAATGCTCATTGAATTTATTCTCGGTAGTACATTTTACATCGTTAACATACCTTAGAAGTGCATACGCCGCCATTATGACAGGGAAAAGAATCGCATGGACCAACTTGAACCCCGCAAAACTCTCCTTTGAATTCTTGTGGGCAGATGCAGCGGTACGAGTTGACTGCATCCACGCATGTCGCGTTATTCAAACACCCATGTTCCTCGCAATCGTCAATATCCTTCTCACAATGTTTCCCAGTAAATCCAGGAACACAGGAGCAGCGATAGCCGTTGATCAAATCCTCGCAAGTCGCGTTATTCAAACATGGATAACTGTCACAATCATCGATATTGACACTGCAGTTCTTACCAGAATAACCCGCTATGCAGTCGCACGCGTAGTCATTAACTAGGTCTCTACATTTACCGTTATTCTCGCATGGATTGACAGAACAGTCATCAATGTCTGTCTCGCAGTTTTCTCCTGTGTAGCCTGCAACACAGTTACAAGTATATCTGTTCTTTCCATCCTGGCAAGTACCGTGGTTTTTACAAGGATTTCCAGCGCATTCATCGATATCAACCTCACACCGGCTGCCGTTGTACCCATCTGGACAGCTRCAAGTGAAACTATTCACTCCATTGTAGCAGATGCCACCATTTGTGCAAGGGTTTGACGAGCATTCATCGATATCTGTGCCACATGTTTCACCAGTAAAACCTGCAATGCAATTCACAAGAGAATGAGCGAATGGTATCAACACATCTCTTGATCTGAGGCGAAAAAACGAGATCCAATGCAATCCAGAATCTAGCATGGGTCATATAATGTTGAAAAGCGGCGTCAAGCTATGAAAAAACTTACCAGGAGCACACAAACATTCAAAGGTACCATTTCTGTTTTTGCAGTCTGCATTATTTGCACATGGCTGTGACGCGCAATGATCAACAGTACTTTCACAGTTGTCTCCATGGAAGCCTGATGGGCATGCGCATGAGTATGATCCTGGAGAATTCGTGCAGGTTGCGCCGTTAAGACAAGGCTGATAGAGACATTCATCAACCTCGAGCTCACACAGACTGCCATTATATCCAGGCACACAGGCACAAGAAAAGCTTCCAAGAGTGTTGAAGCAAGCTCCATTGTTCAAACAAGGATTTGATTGACATTCGTCGATTTCCTGTTCACAGTTAGTTCCTGTGAACCCAGGCAAACAGGAACAGCTGTAGTCATTCACGAGGTCTTTACATTCGGCGCCATGAAGGCATGGGTTAGAAGCACACTCATCGATATTTTCTTCACAAGTCGATCCAGTATAACCTTTCTTACACCCACATTTAAAAGCGTTTACCTGAAAGTTGATCTGTGAGTTAGTCTTACAATCTTCTGCAAAATGAAATGTGCCACCTAGTATTTTGGAGAACCATCCTCCCTCTCCCCCCGTAGCAATGTTGTCTCGCATGCATTTTACCAGCCAACCTCTTCACAGTGTAGAAAACTTCCTTGGCCAACATTGCTAGGGGGAAAGGGGGGAAAGTGGCACATTATTTTTGCAGAAGATTTTTTCAGGTCATATTCCAAACCATGTTTTTATGCGTTTTGTAAATGGCAACGAGACTGAAACATACCTTATCAAAACACGTCCCACCATTTGCACATGGGTTTGAATCACATTCATCGACCTCTTTGTCACACGTATCTCCATAGTAACCAGGCTGACAGTAACATTTAAATCCACCAATCAAATCCTGACATGTTGCGCCATTCTTACAAGGTTTGGCATCACACCTCTCTATCTCCGTCTGGCAAATATCGCCTTTGAAATCTGTTGTACAACTACAAGTGAAGCTGTTCACAAGATCGTGGCAAGTACCATTGTTCAGGCAGGGAGAACACTCACAATCGTCGATATCTATCTGGCATTGTTTTCCAGTGTATCCTGGCTTGCAGACACAGCTGTAGTCGGCTATCAGGTCTACACAAGTGGAGCCTTGTTGACATGGGCCAGAATCACACTCGTTGATTTCTGGGTAAGACATTTTTGAAAAACATGGATGTCATTATTTTTCTGTATTGTTTCATCGATTTCCCTTTCCACTTTTAAATAAATTTCTAACACAGTTTTTTGATATTAAGAGCAGTACTCTTAAAAAATGGTTATCTTTTAAATTGTTAAGCGAATATACGTAAAAATTTGGAAAATTGTAGAAACATCTTAAGTTTCTGAAATTTCCTTTTCTTTCTTTATGTCTTATTACAGTGCTTACCTATCGCAAGCGCAAAATGTCGCGACAAAATAGGGTTTTGGTGGACGTCAATCAAAGTGTTTCCATGGCACTCTTAGTCCCAACGGGATTAATGAACGCTTTGCTTTCAACTAATCCACTCTTTTGTCTTTTGATTGTTTCTTTCGTTTTCTTGCCCACTTTGTTCTCATTGGTTTCCTTTGTCTCGTTCACAGTATATAAACACTCCTTTCTCTTTTACTCCGACGAAGGACTAGCGTCCGAAACGTCAGTACGTTTTTTCATCTTTTCACGTTGTAAAATTKACCCTTTTATCATTACTGTTTCCATGACACTCGAGAAACCCGAAGATTTTTTACGGACACGTGGTTATGCAATATCATGGAAACAATACGCGCAAGTGATTGGGAAGTACTACGTAAAAATTACATTCGCTTGACGCACCTACGCAGTCTGAATAACTATCACTTCCTTCGCTCAGCGTTATCTTTGTTCCATCACAAGGAATGCAGGATTTTGCCTCCTTGTTTGGCTGGTACGATCGTGTATCACATTTGATGCATGGCACAAGGCCTGTTGTTGAGTATGTTCCAGGACTGCAAGGACCTACAAGACACAGCATATGATTTATTCATTTAATGAGCACAAATAATAAATAATATAAATCATTATTTTATTGTAATTGATAAATGATAAAAATTTTGGCTGTATTTGGCAGCAATTAACTCCGCCATGGCCGGTCCCAAGCCCGGATGAGAAAGGAGGAGGGTTGGGCGAAGGGCTAGCAACCCTTCCATGTAAAAACCAGAAAAACGCTATAGAAACATCACCAATAGAGAAACAATCAGAGAATCTAGTCCCGAATGAAGGAGGGACTTCCTATGGAAGCCACATGATGTCACGGGATAAAGCAATTTGGCAGCGATTCGTGGGTTAGATATCATTGAAAAAATACGATTGCTTCTCTCTTTTTCAGATTAAAAAACAGCTTGTGCGAGAAAGAAAAATCTATCCCATCCACCGACGATACAATGAAGTCAAGAAAACGTCTCCCTATTATAACCTGTGCGAGCAAGAAAGTAGGACAAGAAACCAGTTATGGCAGTCTACTTACTTGTACAACTACTTGCATGTACTGCTCCTGAGAATTGCGTCGTTTTGCCAGCGGTGCAAGGAATACATTTGACTTGACCAGACTTGCTTTGATAAGAGCCCTTGTCACAAGGAGAGCATTTCTCCAGACCAGTGGGTGAGTACGAGCCTGGCTTACAATATTCTGTTGAAAACGTATATTATCAGAAACAGCATAAGATATTTGCGAACTCCCTTCTCATGATGGAGCTCCTTTACTCTTCAAAGTTAAGGTGCATAGATTTAGCGTTCACTAAGTAGGATATATAGATATAAGCTTCGCTCCCTCGAGTGACAGAGGGGAATGGGAAAGATTCAAAGGACCACGATTCAAGATAATTTGGCAATAGAGGGTTTTCACTCAGTCCCTCAAGAGTTAACTGACAATGCAGATGGCAGCGATGTTCGTTGGTGTACCTAACAAAAGAAACTAATGACAAAGTTATTGTCAAACGTACACCAATATGGCGGCTGTGACTTCATGTCTGACAACAGAGATGGCAGCCATATTGGTGTACCTAACAAAAGAAACTAATTACAAAGTTATTGTCAAAGGTGCTCCAATATGGCGGCTTTGACTTCATGTGAAAATGCTCTATGAATTTATCTTTCAAAGTTCTGCCATTAATAACCCGTTGTACGCGTTACTCTTTTGACGTTAGGATACAGACACCTACTTCCAGTAAATAAGGACATAATACTCAAGGGGATGATATTAGCTTCAAATACGAAAAGTTCGCAGCAACAGTGTTCCTTTGGGAAATCGGGTCTTTCTTGGTGTAGCAAGTTTATTGTATTCTGGGTTAGGTTTTTGTTTTGCAGCTCCAAAATTATTATCCTTTATATTATTATTGTTTTAATATCTTTATGCCTCAGGTACCTTTCAACACCAAGAAAGAGTCGTGAAATCTATTTTAAAAAACATGAATAAAAGATTGTCTTTTTTATTACCTATACAGTCTGTTTTGTACTTGGACCTTGTATCAACGGTAGACATTCCATCAGGACAGCGGATACAATATTCCTGTGCATTTTGTTCTTGGTACCATCCTTTACGACACTCCTCGCATGTTTCTGTTGTCTTGTTAAGGTACGTACCCAAGGTGCAAGCCACTTATACGTACAGGTAAAAAAAAAATCGTTTAGTGAAAAGCGAAAGTATTATCAACAGCAGCAGTGTGAAAGGCGAATAATAGTCTCCTTCACAGTTCMCTGCGCCATCTTGAAGGGTAACCGTGCCTGTGTATCGAAGCAAGAACTGCGGTGACCTTTTTTACACCTTTTTTTGACGATTATTCACATGTGTTTATCATTACAATGTTCCCGCCATTCTCACTTCGATGCACAGCCACGATTACCCTTCAAGATGGCGCAGGGAACTGTGAAGGGGACCATTGGTAGTGCTAGTGCTATAGACCCCTTGCAGCACTTTGGAATGCAGCTCTATCTGGGTACAAAACAATAGGTACCAATTCTTAGGAGACTGGATATCTTTTGTTTTGTCCCCCAGATCGAGCTGCTTTGACGTCACATGCAAGGAGACAAAACAATAGGTACATTCTTAGGAGATTGGAATTCTTTTGTTTTGTCCCCCAGATCGAGCTGCTTTGACGTCACATGCAAGGGGTCTATTGCGTTGTGTTAGTTATAAAAATAATGGTAAGGGTAGTGATAGCAGTGATATATATATCAATGATGGTGGTGATGGTTGATCCTGAAACATTGATAGTATTACCCCAAGCACGAGCTTAGTAATCATTAATATGGTCCTTAAAGATCCATGAACTCAGATAGATTGAAACAACACTTACCACATTTGTCATCAACAAAAGTTTGGCCGTAACTACATTCAAATTTCATACTTTCGTCAAAGACCACAGAATCATTCAATGGCTTGATTACTTGATCATTGATCTTGATTACCATGTCATCCAATGTCTTTCCCACCTTATCTACCATCTCATCCACTGTGTGTGTCGCATTCTGAGTTTCCTCTATCACCACTTCCTTCGTCTTGTTCACTACACTCGCCTCACTGGGAAGTGTAACTATTAACAGATATACGTTTAGTGTTTAAATTTTGAAAATGTCAATGCACATTATTTCCCTGCCAAGATTGATTTTCCTATATCAGGGCCACTGATTTTTTTCTGAGTTCGTTTCAACAAATGATAAATAATTTCTATACTACCTTCCTAATTCATAAATATGATCAAATTTTCTTACTTTTCTTGATAGTAACACTAACACACTAAGTACTGAGCACCAAAATCAAATTCAAAGTAATTACTTCAGTTGAAAGTAATTAACCTATCGATGCCTCTTATTACACGATAACGAACGACAACTTACCAGAAAGTTCAAAAGTGATTTTCAATTCATTCAAATCCAAGGCAGCGCGAGGCGTTCTTTTGAATGCCAAGCTTAGGAAGTCGTCTGTGGAAAAAGAAGGGGGAAAAAAACATTTGGTAACTACAACTCTAAAACAAAAAAACCAAACCGGCGTCAATTTAAATTTTCGAATCACGAAAAGCCTTTGGGTCAATGTAAGTTAAGGCACGGCTAGTAAACAGATCGAATGGGAGAAAAACCCTTAGATTATAGATATCAGATATAAATTATAGATATAAAACATATCGGCCCTAGATCAAAGATATAGTTACTCCCAAAACTCTTTTCTACAAGCATTAATTATTAGGTCTTTTAATGTCATAAACAAATGGTATAATCATAAGACGTTAGCACGGGTGGATCCAGGGGTGGTAATAGGGATGTCTATTGACCCCCCCTCTTGCTTAAATTTCTCAGTATATCATTAGTAACAGTCACCCCCCTTTTCCTTGAATTCCTGGTAAAACCTTTGTAATAGACACCCCCTTTCTAAAATTCCTGGATCCGCCCCTGGTAACCCCTTTTGCACATCGTGGCTCGTTACATTACCAATTGTTCTCTTTCTTCTCAGTGTCTTTTTTCCGCATTCCACGGCTACATTGGTAGCATTGCACTTTTCCTTCAACGCTTCGTCAATGCAAACATCTTTGAATACTGAGGTCTTCAAAATTTCTATAAACTGCTTCTTTATTTGTGTCTGTACTGCTGGATCGTTACAGTCACCATCGAAATAGAACAGCATACTTCCGGCTTTCCTAGCACTCTTGGGAACATAAACCTCTGTAAATTTAAGGGGGAAAAAACGCTGAAACCTTCTGTACGTTGTCCGGTATAGTGCACAAGTACTATGCACCAGGCATGCGCACAAGTCACCAGGCGTGCGCACCAGGCACCATTATCCGATACACAAATAGACACTTACTAGAACAGTCTGGTAGTTTGTTGCTTGGAAACCAGCTTCCCTTAGCTCCACAAACCCACATGGTTTGAATAATCCTACTAGCAAAGTCATAGTTGCTGTTGCACATGGGAGTACAGAAGCTACCAAACATCCATAAATCACACGCTTTTGCTCCGTTGTCTGGAGGCTTAAGTTCTGGACATGGCTTTGCTTTAGAAAAAAATAAAACTTTGTGTCACGTGGTGAAAATGACGTAAATGGTAATGAGATATTATATACATGTAGACACGTGTAGACTCAAAAAGAACCAAAAAAAGTACGATTAAAGGAGACAAGAAGATTCTATAATTTGTTAGTATCTGTGTACGTTTTGGAGGTGCTAACATTTGCATTAATTTTTTTGCTATTAATTGGTTATAAATAACAGGATACCATACTTCCATCGTCGTACGCCGGAGATTTCGACCCCGACACCGCTATCCCGGGAGAACTAATTACTGAGTAATCAGGAAGCTCGGCAGAAGCCTAAGGGAGAGGTTAATTGATCGATAATAGGCCGTAGATTATTAACCCCAGGTCGTAGATAACATACTCCAGGGAATGACAAGTGGTCTGAAATAGAAAAACATTACGCCCAAGGTAARGAGGTCTAATAACTCACGTTTGACAGTAATCTTGAAGCTACAGATACCAGGTTTGTTATTAGGATTCTTATCATAAGCCCTGCACAGTATATTCCATACTCCCCAGTAAAAAGATGCGCCGCTTTGTCTGTTACAGTTGACTGTTATCTCATCGTTACTGTTGTCTTTGAATTCAGGTTCTTTCCATTTGACCTGTTCTCTCATCTTCGTGGCAAGCACTTGAAAGTCATCTGGACAGTACACTACCTCTGGTCCTTTGTTGTCTGTTTTGATACAAGATAAACACAAATCTAGTAAAAATGCTGATTGGTAGCCACGATTGCAAATGCAGTAAGTAAAACCCGTGTTCACCTACTAGTAAGAGTTAAATAACATGGTGAGGCCCGGGGGATGTATAGACTTAATTGAGAGTTTTATATTTACGTTCACGGCAAACGTGAAACGTCAGTTGACCATTAAAAAATTCTTTTAAATTACTGAAAAAGAATCGCAAAAAAGTCCAAGTAGTAGAAAAACAAAAGAGTATTTGCGCTTGGTGAGAAGGTTTGTAAAAGGTAAAGTAAAATAAAGGAAAACTATGAAAACGTGGTCACGTTTGCCGTTTGCGGGGAGAAAAAAAAGTCAATATAAAACTCTCTAATGCCGACGTTCGAGGTACATAACAAATTTATTTCAAATTTTGGTAAGGTCTTCGGACACAAATTATTCTCAAATAACAAAGAAAACCGTGTCCCTGATTCGTTTTAATCCGGTTATGTATGATGGCCCACAAGTACGAAAGCCCATATAGTGGACATTAATTACGAAAAATAAGATGTTAACAAATTCAACGAATTTATGATGATATACCTTAAAAAAAAAAAAAGAAAAAAAAAAATTTTCCGGATACGATGGGGTTCAAACCCACCGACAAAAATTTAAGAAAAAAAACTCGATTCAACTTTGCCATACTCCCGAGACATCCGCAGAGCTGAGGCGGCGTATGGACTTCGGACCTGACGGC